CCAGTCCTCATCCTCACGCGACGACCTCCGCCGTCATCTCCGTCCGCCGTACGGATCCTCGGGACGTAATCGGAGTCATCAGGATCGTCGGCGCCTGTGGTCTCACCGCCCTCAGCGGCTGTGGAGCTGTTGTCATGGAGGATGATCGTGCCGCCTCGTCTCTTCTCACCTCGACCTGCTTCGTCCACTCTGTCACCTCCCTCCGCCCCCCCCCTGTCCATCTGCGGCAGCTGGCATCTGTCTGGTCTCGTCCCTGTTGCGGAAAAAAGAATGCAGGCAGCGCCAGTGATACGGAATCGACACACCTGTTCCCTTCTTCCTCGCCCGTGACAGCCTCGCAGTTGCCGTCCTGGTGTCGTTGACATAGCTCGTCTTGGCCCGTATAGGCCTCCCATGCTGCTCCTCGTAAGCTCTCATGGAATCATGACAAGTGCCATCGACATTGCCGATCGATCGCGCCCCCGTGGGCACATCTGCCGGTCCATATGCTGATGTCTGTCCGATATCGCCCGCCCTCCGGTCCATGCCCGCACCGTCGTAGAAAGACCTCGTAGGCAATGCGCTCGGTGCAGCCTGCCCGTGGGCGGCAGGATCAGCGGCAGAGGGGCGTGAGGGTGGTGGACACATAATGTCACGCATCCCCGTCAAATGCGGTCGAGGCTTATCTGTGTGCCCATCTCCAACGTCATGTGTGCTGGGCCTGACAATGCTGGGGTGTGCGGTCGATGACCCTCTGCGCTCGATGCCCCCCCTGAAGGACCGTCCAYCATCTGCGCTCCCTGGCTGCGCTRTATCCTCGCTCACGCCCTCGCCTCCGTCCGAGYGGATAACTCCGGGAGGCCTCGCCTCTAAAGTCTCCGCTGRCCCTCGATGTGGCTCTTGCTGCGGGCCCTCCTCTGGTGGATGGACTGATGACACGCCGTCCGATAACACCTGCGAACCATGACCCCCCTGCGCCAAAAAATCTCCAGACGCTGCCTCTAGTGAACCTTCCAGACTACATTGAGCTGCGACGTGCGGTCCACCACGACGGTTCCGTGCTACCTCCTCCGCCAACCCCTACTCCACCGCCCACGGTGCACTGACATGAAAAATGGCGGGAGTGCCGGACTCTGGAGGATGCAGTATCGTGTCGCCGCCGAACTTATCGAACCCTCTGTCACGACGCGCGTCATCTCGTCTAGCAGGCTCCGGTGGTGCCACAACCGGCAAAGTGGGAGATATCAGTAGCGATATATCGGGCAGAGATGCCAAGGCGGAATCCATGGTGGGCGGAAGATTGTCGGGCGGGCAGTCGAGGCCGACGTGGTGGTCCGTCGGAGGACATTCATCCTCCCCGTCCTTTCCACAAGTGGGAGTGGGTGCAACCTCTCCATCCTCTAGACCGCCGTCACTCGTGTGAGGAGGCGGCTCACGTCGTGCCTTGCCGTCCTCCAAACCCGCTCCTGTGGACTGGACTGGGGCGCCTGCTGGAGTGCACCGAGTCTGCGCCTGGCGGAGTGGACCGGGTCCTCCGAACTCCGTCTCCTCCTCTATGCCAACAACCGGCGCTCGCGACCGGAGATGAGTGATCCTGAACCCTGTATCCTCCTCCGTCACTATCACATCAGTGTTCGAGGCTAGCTCCTCTGCATGAACCGGGTCGCGCTGCGTCTCGTTGGAAGGATCTCCCATCTCGTCCTCTGACACGGCAACCGGGTCCTGCCGCATGTCACGTGCCCCCGTGTCGATCGCAATGTGGACACGATGTCTGCGTACACGAGACGCAATACTGTCATCCCGCCTACCCCCGTGTCTCAACCGCTTCAAAACGTAGCGACCACGGGGCATAAAATCGCCGTCCACATGCTCGTCAACCCTAGCGCCATGGCATCCGCTCCGTCCACCATC